TCAGGGGTTGTCCTACTGAAATTCATAGCCATATTTTGCAGCCATGGAAACTTGTTCCTTCAGCATGGCTTTAATTTCGACAGAATTGTTTGGGTCCACTCAGAAACATGTGGCCATCCGGGCAAGCTTAGGTTCTAGCCAAAAATAGCCCAACGATTTTGTGTTGTCACTTCTCAATTTTCTGCCTAAACTTTATACTCTTTGAGAAGACCATTCGAGTGGCAATTGGCTGTTTTTTTTTCCATTCCAGTCAGGACGCGAGTTGTGACTTTCACGTCCCTTGGTCCACTGTGACATCCTTGGAATATTATTCAAGGTGAGCTGGGCAGTCCCGCTCAGCTGGGTCCCAATATCCTTCTTCGCCCTTTTCGACACTGGGCGCTTTGTTGGGCCAGGTGTTTTCCAAAACGGAAGCCAAACGCGATGGGTACCATTGTCCTGGGATACAAATAAATCCCGTGGTTGATGAATGGGAGGAATGCCCACTTTGAGTGGGATTTGGATCACTTGTGTGGATGACTGCCCCTTAGTAGGATGTGTTAATCCAGGGTCCCATTCATGTCCCTATTGTCCCTATTCTTCACCAAACGTGACACCTCAAAGAGGATGTCTACAGGTTGCATGAGGTGGTGGCCGGGGGAACAGCGAAAGCCTGGCTGAAATCAACTCTGTGCTCCGCTTTAAAGTAGTTCCACTGGTTCCACTGGTCTCAAGCAGACTTAACTTTGCCTGGCTTGTTAAACAAATTGGGCGCCCTGAGGGTCTGGCTGAGAACCTGAGATCCTACGGGTTCCCTGTGAAACCATCCAACAGGGGATTTCCCAGAAACCACCTCTGGCAGACACTCGTAGTCTCCATGAACCTTTCGAAATCGGGGTCATGACCCCTAAGTGCTTCGCTCATGGGAACCAGTGGTTGGTTCATGGGCCTTTTTGGTAACAGCTTGAAATACACCTCCCCCCCCTCCCCCCCAAAACAAGACACCTCTTTTTGGAGGGGGTGGAGACTCCAGGCACCCGCGCATGTCACCCCGCGCCCGAAGCCCGCACCGATCGATCCGAGGCGCGGCGGCGCGGCGACGTGCTGAGCGGGGGCAACAAGCGGAAGCTCTCGGCCGCGCTGGCGCTGGCCCGGGGACTCGGGGGCCGAAGGTGAGAGAGGGCGATGGCTATCAACCAATCCAACGAAAATAGGTTCTAAAATGGGTGGTGTCCCTACCCCGGGGTCTCACCATTGTTGACCCACGGCCATATGGGTGTGGGTCAAATTTTTAAGCCACCAGGAAATGGACCGCAGATTGTAGTCCATGGTTCCAAGTACCAGGGTTCCACTCTGGGTACCGTTGTTTTTGACCAGCCATGTGATCTTCACGGCGTCACTTGCGGGGGTTGAGCGAAGAAGGTCCCATAAACATGGGACGATTGGAAAAAACGCAATGAGGTTTTACAGTACATAGGAAAAGTGACCCGTGGTTATCTGGGAGTCAGGCAGATTGATCACCGTTTGTTGCTATGACTGGGGGAACCGACCGGTGGACGTCATGTGTTGCTACTGTATGGGTCCAAATGTTCAACCAGGAATTGGACCGCAGGTTTCGTCCATGGATGTGCCATTTACTAGGGTTCCGTTTTGGGTACCTATTTTTAATCCACTGCCATTTGGGCTTGTCTTTTTTGGGAGGGGACCCCCGTTTTGAATTAACCTAAGAAAGAGACACGCACCCATTTCGGTGGGGATTTATGTCCATCAACAACGTTTGAGGTGGTAGCTCTTGAATTTCGTAGCCAATTGGGCGCGGAGGGGGACAGAACAGCGGAGATTTGTGTGTGTGTGTGTGTGTGTGTGTCTGTCTCTTGGGGAAACCCCCTTTTTGGCCTGCCATTCAAAAGGAACTAAGGGTCCCATTACGCAACAAATGAAGCAATGGAACCAACATCTACACTCAGGTACCTCCCAACGGTTTGGGGATTGGAGGGCAAATGGCTTCCCAGCCCACCAAGCCACCCATTCGGCTCCACCAATTCGAGGGAAGCTGCACCCCCCTCGCCCTGGATGAGAATCCTGAAGTTTCAAATATTGGTGGTCAAATCCAGTGCGTTGGGTGTTTTTTTCTTCTTCTTCTTCTTCTTCTTCTTCTTTGGGGGGGGGGGGGCGTGGTGGGGTTCCTTGTTTTGATCCTATCAGAAAAATTAAGCATGTGGTTACATGAAAACCCAACCCATGGGTTTTCATGGCAACACCCCCAGACCCTCAACAGGGCTCCTAAAAAGATACATTTTGCCAATTTGAAACACGTTGCTTTTTTCACCACCAAGATACGGGGACACCACCATGTACAAGTTGCAAGGTTCAGGTGTAATTATAATGCATCCGGATCCCACAATGCGACTTTGGTGGAATGGATTCGGTTTTGGTTCCACATATCTCTCGATCCAAGGCATCAGAGGCATGGGCTCTTGTAAGGATCTCTGCTGAAGAATTGATCCGCTGAGATGGGGTCGCCGGCCTTGGCCATCCTCGACGAGCCCAGCTGCGGCCTGGACCCGGCGGCCCGGCGCGCCCTCTGGACCGAAGCGGCGCGCGGCGCGCCAAAGGGGCAGCGGGTTCTGGGGATTTTTGGGTGGTTTGAGGTTGTTGGGTGGTTTTTGATGTGATGTTTGGGTGGTTTTCATGTGATGTTTGGGTGGTTTTGATGGGGTTGTTGGGTGGTTTTGATTCCGGGGGTTCAAACGAATGGGGGTGCCCAACGCTCAGGTGAGGTAACCACGCCAAATATGAGGTAAAAATGCAGAAAACAGGGTTGGTCGCTCGGTTTCCATTTGGTTTGCCAACTGAACCAACTCAAAGGCTTGGATGTTTGATACTTGGTTCAGTGGCACCTGGTTAGGTGGGTTCAGTTTGCTTGCCACAAGAGGGAATTAAAGGGTTTCCTTTTGGCTAACCCCATAAGGGTTCGGATTCCTAAGAATATGGACGCTCCCCCTGGGGATTTTGGGGCTGTTTCAAGCCGCCCCATTCCTTGCTTCAGGACTGCAGTGCACGAGGCCGTAGGCGGCTCCGCCAGGCGGTTGGAGGGCTGGGCAACACTCCGAGTAGGTCTGTGTTCGAGGCTGGACCCTCTGTTTTTGGCGGCTTTAAAGAAAGGAACCCAAAAGGAAAACTCACATGAAACGACGTTTGGGGTCAGCAAATGCCCTCAATCGAAAGACTGGTGGGCTGAACTTCTTTGCCGTGGAGCCATGCTGATCATGGGGACATATTGATCGTTCGATGAAGAAGCTGCATGCAAAGACTGTCAGAACTTCCAGAGATGGGCGTGTCTCTTTTTCAGGCTGCCCTTTTTGAGTCGTAGGACGGAGATGTGATCTACCTGCAGGAATGTCCAATTCCCTGCTTGCCACGGGGGCTGCGTCTTACGGTACTGGCATGCGTCATTTTCCTTCCCAAAGGTTCCTGGCTTCGGCTTTCAATGGAAGTCCATTGGACACCCCGGAGGTGTTTTGGGGGTCTGAACACCTGGCTGTTTGAAGGCCCTAAATCAATCGGGAGAGTTTCTGGGTTGTCGAATTTTCAGCGACCTGAACGGGTCACCCTGAGAAAAGGCACCCATATGGCTCAAGCGTGTCTCGGGCCGCTTTCCTTGCATGGGAAACAGCTACCGCTCGCTTGGCTCACAGCCTGCATGGCATGATTGAAAGCTTTCAACATCAGATGTGCTTAGTTTATGGCAAGCTCTGGGGGTTGAGCGTGATGCTCCTTACTCTGAAGCCCTTCGTTTAGGTTCTGTGGAAATTGCAGATGAAAGTTCATCTGCATGATCCTATGACTAGGACTTAGATCCGTGAGTCATGCCCATCGATCTGCAAATTCAGATGAGGCTTCATTCCAAAGCGCCATCGCATGCAACGCCCACGGCTGAATTCTGAACACAGCACATCTTAGGGCCTGGGGACCCCACCCCTCCAGCGAGCCCGCGAGCGAGCCCGCGCAGTTCAGGCAGGGCGCTTGCGTTGAAGAGTCGGCTTGGGCTGGACATTCGCTTTTTGGGGATTTTTGGGTGGGGTTCCTTCAAAAGCCATCAGCCCGACCAAGCGTTTTTCGGGTAAAAACTTAGAGGTCGTTGCCCATCCGGAGAGCCGCGAGCCGCTGCTAGGGTTTCAGGAGATGCCTGGGCTTTATTTTTTTTGGGCCACTGCGGGTAGGGACCTTGTTTGTTGCGAAGTGTCAAAGGTTGGACATGGGGATACTTCTTGGTCATATTTGTTCCATGTTGTTTCGTCTCGTGTAGCTGATGCTACGTTCAGCCCAAGGGTTTGGACGTTAGCACTTTCGGTCAAAACGCAGCCGACGTGGGGAGATGTTGGAACGGTGTAACACACTCCAGCACGAGGTGACACTCCAAGGTCGACGTAGTTTTTGTCTCCGTGACTCCTGAAATTGGGTGTTCTGTCGGTTTCCCTGAGCCCAAAAGGATCAATGCCCGAGAACGCGCTCGCACACAGACGCACCTCACTCTTCCCGAGATCCGGTTTCATTGGCAAAGAAGAAACTTGAACCTGGGATGGAAGCGAGTGTTGGTGGGTGTCGCCCTCTTGAAAGGAGTCTGATGTGATGGTTGAAGGAATCATAGAAGCTCACAATGTGCCACATATATATATATATGTATATATATATATATGTATATATGTATGCACATATATATATATATATATAATATCATTCATACATGTACACATTCTTAGGATGTGTTAGGAAGTGACATCCATGAGGTGTGTACCTTGTTCTAGGTTGGTTTAAACTGGGATCTCCTTCAACACTGCATATTTGATGTTTTGGGCCAAACTCAAGATGTAACAAGATCAGATTGTGGTCCCGCTTCGTATTTCCCACATCCCACTTAAAGGGCCTTTCCAAAGAAGCCGATGTTCAAAACCAGGACGTGTTTGTTGAAGCCTGTGGGAGCCACCCCATTTGTGTCGGCTCGATAGATCTCAGGCGAGATGGCGCTGGCCTTTCACAGCTTCAACGCCCAGACCCGTGTGGCAGGGCCAGGGGCCCTGGGGCCCTGCGGGTTGAGAGGTGAGAGGTGAGAGGTCAACGGCTTGCGTTGGAGCTTTCTGTTGTTTCTTCTTGGGCCTTCTTTTGGAATGACTCAAAAAGGGGATGGACAAGCAACGACTTTTTGGCTGGGATGTCTGGTTGCTTTTTAAAGTCTTCTGGAGTTTGGGCTCCTTTTTCCAGAAGACAAGAAACACACCCTGCGCACACCAAAACTGGTGTTTGCGAAGAACGATGGTGAAACAGACTGGACATGGAACCAAGCCTCAGAACTCGGAGTTCCGTGGTGTTCCTTTTTGCACTTGGGAGTTCCCTGTGTTTTTGTGGACGATGACCCGCTTGTTTGTTTCACATTGATCCAACATAGGGACATTAAGGGCAGGTTCAACATCGGTTCCCGTTGAGATGGTTTTAAGAGGTGGGCTGTGCTGGCCGTGAATACGCTCAAGCCAAAACAGGTTTGCTGGGGTTGGGGGGACCGTGGAAAAAACTGCCCAGGAACCGCGTCCTGGACAAGCCATGGCAGATGCCGGAGGGATGGAATGCTTCGCTCGCGGCCCTTGACCGGAGACCCAGAGGCGACGACCGACTTGCGTGTGGACTTCTGACTCCCCGAGGATTGGGAGGACCATGTCAGTACGCAAACATACAGTTTGAACGTGTTTTGTCCCAACCAGGAATCAGTCTTGGAGCAGTTTTGAAATGGGTTTACGTTTTGAGGAATGTTTATGTTGATCTTAATGACAGCTGAGGTGGTTTGAAGTGGTGGTATTAGTCTGCAAGAACCTTCCCATTTACCCACAATTGTTCCCCCCCCCCCCATTTTAACATTGTGACACCACGACTGATTAAGCAACCTCCTTGTGTTGTCCTTAAACTCACTTTCCGAGTTGCGCTGGCTTTTACTTTTGGAAGGGCTATGACAGTAGTTGTTCAACAGTTCAGACTTCTGTCGTCCTGTCACAGGTAGTTCAAGCGCACCAGGTCTGATTGTTTCATCGCATGTGTCCCAACCCTTTGAAGACTCCGGGGCTTTGGACGGAAATTACTCGGTTTTCAGTTTCCAGCTGGCACCCATTGGCAACTGCGATCATCTTTGAGATGATGTGTCAGATGGGCCAGATTCGATTAGCTGATATTGGCTGGATGGGCCAGAATCCAACATATATATATATACCTGGAGTCTCCATGACCCTTTAAACATGGGTCCATAACCCCTTAATTTTTGGTAATGTCACCATTTTTAAGAGGTTATGGATACTCCAGGTATACATATACAAATATATCTGTGTATATATTTGTGGTAGGGGGGCAGCAGCTGAGTTGGTAGTTGAAGCAATGGGTGCTCTTGGCGGAACCCTTATCTCAAGGCCTTTGCACATGCGAGGTGTATCGCATATGTACTACAAATCCAAATCCAGGGACGTTCTTTGCCACAAATTTTCCGCAGGTATTCCTTGTTTGATGTGAGAGGTTGACGTCCATCAAGTTTGGTGCATATTTTGTGGTTGAAATCTTTCATATCCCATGTGTTGATCGTGACTCGGGCCTGTTGGCAAAGCCAGTTTTGAATCATGGAACTTGATGTTCTGAGATTGTGCTTTCTGTTCAGTTACTCATTGCTGTTGAAGAAGGGTCGTGGCTTCTTTTTGTTTGTTTGTTTCGGTCTCTTGATTTAGACATCAACCAAGTTGTCCTCGAACAACCATTCATGACGGATGTTTGCTGTCAGCCTTTTTCAAGTTCAAAGATTTCAACGGATTGGATGAATCTTTTCTGAGAGTCCAATCCAGTCGGGGGCCTTTCTGAACGACCCCGCCATCCCATTTTGCGCGCACACCTAGAACACAGAGACGCGGGATGCCAGCGGCAAGGCAGGCGGAGATCTGGAATTCCGGCGTAGTAAAACCTGGGTGGGAGGCAGTGTGGTTTTCCCAGCTGCAACTTCACTGTTGTTGGCATGTGTGTTACGTGTTTGTTATTGGTTCTGTTCATTTTTGGTAGGAGGCTGCAAAAAACGTCATGTTTCTGGCTACCATACCAAGGTGTGATTTTGCTTCCATAGACCCAGTGGGCACTTCGGTTGCACTTTTTGTTCCATGGCCACTGTCGTTTGGCTTCCTCGCTAAGGCCAACTTTTGAGTCAAAGTGAGGCAATCATGGCGACGGATTGATCGACTTATTTCACCAAGGGAAAAGTGAAGGTAAATCCTCTGAAATGAGCCACCCCGTTTCAACCAGGGTTGTATGAATTCCGGGTCGGAAATACGACGTGGGTGTTTTTGACAAGATACTTCAAGATACTGCTGCTTGGTTGGTCTTCGGCTCGAATCAGGTACCTTCTCGCGGGTCCCTTTAAAGGCAAAGCTGAATGTCACTAAGTGTAGGCGTGTGTGTGTGTGTGTTGTGAGGGGCGGCTTTTTTTACTTTGGCTTAAAGGAA